ACCACAGCTTTTGTCAAAGTGAGTTGTGAAGAGAAGATTTATGACCCTGTGATGTCACATTTTTCCCACATTGGCCCTGCCTACTTTTCCTCACTTTGCTTCTGTCTAGATCAAAGTTTGTCAGCTTTTATGGCCCCTAATTACATTCTTCAAAAGAAGTTTACACTTAGGTGTTACCTTTCAAACTCAATGGATTTTTGTATGTTTTTCTAACAACATTAAAGAATCTTAGGGTTTCCTGTGAGAATAGGACTGACCAACACCCTCATACCAGGGATGGCACATCAAAGGGTTTTTATTAGTTTTTCTCTAGCAAAAGGACAGACCAGCAACACACAGACTTAGTTTGTTGCTCTCTAAATATTTTATAGATGTAAGGATTAATGTTTCTCTCTAAATGTAATAAATAAGCTTAGGAAAAGTGGCTGTCTCCTCATCAAAGTTTAATTTTAAAGAAGTTCAGCCTAATAGTTTTATTAGAGGTAAGGTTTAAGACCAAATTAAATTTAGAGCAAAAATAAATATTAGTCCAATAAACCAGATCATTCTTTTGATTTAAGCTGAGGGGAATCTAGTGTTTCTTCCCAACATAGTTTAGTTTCAAGAAAGCTTAGAGCCAATAGTTCTGATAGGTGGTCAGCCGAATCCATCCGTAATCGGCTGATCTTTCGCCACCCAATGGTGCTTCACAAGTGATATGCCTGTGGTTCACCACCCGCTCTGATCATGCCACCTTAGTCCTAATGGTTCTATGTCAAATTAGCAACCCCACGTGCAGGAACATGCCCAGGCACACAGTAGCCTTTTGCGCTGTATCTACTTTATGTGGCTTTCTGGCTAAATGAGAACTTCACTACAACATCACTACAATTCATCTAAACCAGATAAACTACTCGTTTATTCAGTAATTTAATTATCAAAAAGATTGTGAATTCACTCATTTAAAAAAATGTTTTTATAAGAAAATATTTTGGAAGCGAAGTGCGAAAAGTGGGTGGGACTGATGTGTGAAAAATCTGATGTCACGGTTGTAAATCTTCACTTCACACCTCAGTTTGGAGAAGCTTTCGTATTATACTCACTGTAATGCTCATGTTTAGAATGTTATGTCAACCTTCACAACTATGTGTGAAGGTGTCACATTTCTTCATTCAAGAAGGGTCTTGCAAAACAACGATAAAACAAAGACATGCATTTTCTGATTGTTTGGTTAAGCTGAAGCAACTAAAACTACTTAAAGACTGTGGACAATTTGTGCAGAATTGACAAAACACGGTTAGTAGTGAAAAACTAAGATTTTAGACATAGTAAAGTCAGTGTTCTCTCCTTGACCTAAGAGTAAGTGGTGTGAAGCAAGTGCTTCACACCAAGCTAAGAGCTGTGGGATTGCACAGTTCTCTCTTTGGTTTACACAATTCCACCAGTTGCTCAAATAAAAAGTACAGAATTTTCTAAAGCCATTATGCTTTGCCATCAGAATTAAAGTGAAAGCATAAATATACTAGAGGCTTTGAGCTCAAAAGTGCTGATAAAAAAATACACTGACACAAATTATAAATATTTTCCAACTTGCCAGTGAAGCCTACACCATTTCCTCATCTTGGTACTTGTGTGCATGAAATCATGCAAGTCATGTTCCAATATGGATGTACATGTTGATTGATACCATTGCTTTCTGCTACTTTGCTTTATTCATATGCAAAGGAGATATTTTTTATTATCTCACCTTTCCACTGACAGAGAGATAATTCATAGCAGAGGATACAGTCAGTTGCATAGCAACCTGCAATTATGCATGCCGTCTGGAGAGACGATACTCACTGTGTCCTTCTCCATTTTCTCATTTAATCTAAACCAGAGTAGTTCTTTTGTCACAAGGAGTGAACATGATAAACATATCAATTCACCATATCAAGGACTTAGTTGCATGTCGTGAATTTAGCCACAAATTCACCTACGGAATTAATCTAAGATTTAAAATGTTCGTATCAAAAGAGATGACAGTGGTAACATCAAACAGTGTACAGGGTGGAGTGGGAGAAAATGCTATAGCAGTGGCCACATGGGGAGTAAATTAAGTATTCTGTAAGATGGTGTACAGCATTTAGGGACTGACATGTAGAAATAGCAAACTGAGCTGGATAGCACTGCTTCAGGGTCACTAAATCAGTGGTGTTTAGGACCATTTATTACACCTGCTGCTAATATATCTTGAACAATGGGGACCTCATGAAAAACCTTGGTACTGACCTAGGGAGGCTGCATATCAATTGGGTCCTTACCTTTGCTGTGTGGGTTTAAAAACTAGAGTGTGAGAAAGTCAATAACAAGAAAGTGGCAACAAGCACTACTTGCACAGACAGTCTTCACTGAGACCTGGGAAATCCAGTTCCGGTGGAAAGCTTGAGTACCATTGACCAGTTCATAGTCATCTGAACTGGACAGAATATGAGTTAGTGCTTTCAGGCATTTATTCAGGAAACCACAGGCTAAATGAAATAAATTGAATTTCCCATTTCCACTCATTTCACACTGTGCTCCAGGTGGACTGGCATGGGAAGCCACTCCACCTTCTCTGATCAGTTCATTCCTTTAACATCTGTCAATTTCAATGTTGATCTTTTGAGGCAACATATTATTTACCCTGAACAGTACATGGCCGTGTATAATGTGATCTCAAACTCCCACAGTGAAAACATCTGGAACTTCAAAGTTAAAAGTCCTTCCCTTAGAACGCTAGACATTGTTTGTTTGGCTATTTGAGTCACTTTAATTAAATCATCAGACACAGTGATGACTACAAACACATTGACTGGTTTTAACAAAATCCAGGGGTGGTGCATCTGATACTTTTTCATCTCTAGTTATTTCAAAGAACTTTTTACACCAGTCATGTAGTCGAATAATCAGAAAACATGAGGCAGGTCACTGAGATAAAGAGTAATATCCCAAATGTCAGACCGTGCAGTGAAAAGTCCTACTCAACATGGGTGCTATTTACTGGAATATTCTTGTTTCTTTCCTCATAAACATGAAATTCATGAATAATTTTGAATATTTTGTCAAAGTATAATCAAAAATATAGTATGCAAGCAACTTTTAATGCTGTAGTTTTTGTGCTGTTACCAGAATGTTAAGTATCTGCATAGAAAATGTACAAAGCCTGTAGTTTTCTTCATTGTGTCTTCTGACAATTTAGGGTTACAAACCTATGTGATTTAAATACAGAACAAAACACTGATTTGTGGCATACAGACAGCTGTTAAAAAAGGCAGCAATCAGACAATAACAGGTATCAGTACAACTGCAGAAAGCCTGAAGATTAACTAAATCTTAATGGGTTAAGTACAGGGTATAACACTTGTTAGGTTCCAATAGTGGAGATGCAGAAATCATCAGTTTGAACTGAAGTAATCTAGATATGTATGAAGAGCTCTAAACTAGTTTGTATTTGTAATGGACAGTGACATATCAATAATTGGGATTGTTTTTTTTTACCATGCTGCTCTGCAGTTCATGTTTTCACAGATATAAAGAAACCAATTCTGAATTTTAACAGGATATAATGAGGCATATTTGATTGATGACATACACACACCAAATAAACAGAATCTGAAATGGACCAGGCTTTCTATGGTTGATAAAGATCTCTCAAAAATGCCTGAATCAGCCTGATACTGATGCATCAATCTATATGGGCAAATATCAGGCTTGTATCATCCAAGCACGTCAGGTTTTTTTTTTTTTTTTTTTGTGCGTGTGTGTGTGTTTCAGCAATGACATACACTTGTTTGCTCAGTTGTGTGCTTCATTGTGGTTGTGTTTTAGAACTACTGTCCATATCTGAAAGGAAGAAAGCAGGAATTCAGGCTGTAGTTATTAGGAATGGCAGTAAGTAGCTATCAACTACTATCAAATAGCTAACAACTATATAAAACGTAAAAGTGCAGGTTATAAATCCCACCTCTTCCAGGTTAGTGGATGGGGCATGAGCCACACTAAAAACTCAAAGTAGAAATTCAGTTAATTTTTTACTTTTTGATTATTGGTAGATATTATGCTGAAATGTGTAAAATTTTTCTGTTAAGTTTGTTCTTAATACGTTATTTGATGATATAAGAGGTGTATTTTGGTGAATTTGACAGCTTTGATTGGCGGTCCAGTGCTGTCACTCCACTTCTGTTTACTACTGTGTACAATCTGGTTGCAAAAATAAAAGATGGCAGCCGTCATATTCACAATGTTTGGCTTCATTTTTGCATAGTGGAAGAAGTGCTAACACCTTGTCCATCATTTACTTCTCAACGGCACAAACCTACTTAAAATGTAATTTCAATTTTTATTTATTTATTTTTTTTACAGCCAGAAAATTACATCTTTTAGATTATTTGCAATTGCACCTTTTTATTACAGGCATTGCCAAAACTGAAGATTGGCCTGATTGGTGCAGAAGCAACTCTGCAAAGAGTGCAAGTGAAATGAACCATTAATAAATATTGTAGGTGAAGGTTGACTTCTAATGAATTACCATTAGAGAGGAACTACTGAAATTCAAAAATATATTGTTTACTCAACATGTTACTTTAATTTGGTCATACTGTGCAAAACCTATACTCTACTACACCAGCAATCCTGTAACATAACACTCTGTCAGGGACCAAGCAGTAAGGCAAAAGATACAGCTTCCAAAGTTCAAAGTAAAGGGTTTTTTATTAACCCAAAAGCAAGAAAAATACAAAATTAACATCAGATAAACTGGGCCCTAAAAGAGGTCAACAAAAGATAAAGAAACTCAAAATACAGCAAACTGAACTGTCCCAACAAAACCAACTGACCTAGCAAATGACACACACACACACAGGGGAACATATATACTGGCTGGCCAAACCAATAACACACACAAGGGGTAAACTAAATACACTACCAAAGCAATCAACTAATAAACACTAAACAGACAGCCTGCTCTCAACTAAATATTCCCTTTACGCCCCCCCATCAATGGACCAGGAAACATGGTAACTCAAAAGAAAAGGTAAACATTAACAATACAAAATTAATCAAACGTGCATGCTCATTGTGTATGTCTAATATGAATTACCCACCCAAGTCCATGGCTGGTGGTGGTTTAGGTCTTCACATGGTGAAGGCCAGGACTGAGACCTTCACACACTCATTAATAATTCCATACATTTCACCCTATAGTCCAAATGTGGGATGGTGGATTGATCCAGTGCACAGCTGTACATTCCCTCTTTACAGCTGAAAATTCTCACAGTAATCCTAGTCACTTTCAAGATGTGGTTCTCCCAAAAATTGCAGATTAACCGGTGAATCCTCAGAAAAATGAAAAACAGTTTAATATTTTAACCACCACCACTCCCTAGAACTTAATGTAATGAGACTTTTTCCTCATTAGTCCTTGTTCGCATGGGAGCTAATGGCAAACTGGATTCCCTCTGTTTCTCCACTGCAGATTTCTCCTATTTAGTCTTAATGAGATTCACAAGGGAGTTGTTCCCTGCTCTGGGTCAGACTCTGTGGTCAAGGGTTGTCATTTTCACTTACTGAGGGCATTGTGAAGCTCTTAGAGAATGTGGTAGTTATTCCATGCTGTACAAACAGACAAGAGAAGAACCCTTTTCACTTTGATGGCATCATATGGGATTTTATTGGGCTCAATCTACAATCTAATACAGTACATGCAATTGATTTGGCTGAGTGAGTAGATGGGAAAGGGGTTGTCCTTGATACAAAAACATAATTTTAAAGATTCTGGTACTCTTAAATTTTTAGCTCTTTGTTTTATAACCCAGCTGTGACCATTAAATATGCTGGATAAGAACCATCTGGTTAGTCTAACACAAACAGAAGCTTTTTAAGCACCTGACAGAAAGTTATAAAGATTTACTTAAGACTGAGTTTCAGTCTTTGCTTTGGCAATAAGGCTACAAAGAAATCCGCAAATGATAGATTATGAAAGTTCTTCTGTATTAGTCATAGTCTCCTTTATAGCTCTTATAATCTAGTAGCATTTCCCTGACTGTGTTGGGCTATGTTGATTGCTTAAGTAATAATATCAATAGAAAAATGCTGCCAACCTCTCCACCCAGCTCAAATGCCACTCTGCACCCACCTGAAATTTTATTCCAGCAATGATGCAATAACTACCACTCAAATAAATGTGTTACAGAGGACCCAAATTAGCACCTGCTCACTCCTCTTCACTTAACTTTCAGATCACTGCATGGAATTGGCCTGTTTTTTCACATAAACCTTGTGACCACATTAGGCTTTTGTTTTCTGGATGCAGCCACATTGATCACCTAGGGTACACCTGTTTTTCTCTTCTAACCATTGCAACCATGAAATTTGCCAACTGTATCATGTTTAATTGTGTGAACTCTATTTTGATTAGTCAGTGTTTGAGCTTAATTCCAAAATCTATGATTGTACAAGATATAACCTTAGCATTAATCCTTTCATTAAGAACTGGATATGAGCCATGTTCTCCAGTGCCAATATGAAAGTGGTTTCTTCTTATGGACAACTGTAATGGAAAATGGACAGTTAATTATTTAAACTATGAGAGTGTGTTGTGTTTAGCTTGGAGTTGAGAAGTTGCTATACATCAAATAATTGTGCTCACAGATAAGAACATCCCCAATCAGTATAACAAAGCCTGCACACACATGACTAGTGTGTGATGAAACAAGAGCACACCCCGACCAAAACTTTGTTTATACATTTTTAACTGTGCAGGCCTTAAATATCTCTGTTTCTCTGCCTCATCAGATTTCACTGTTACTCCTCATTGATCAATGTGATAAAGAAGGTAACAGCTGACTCAGGGTATTTCCACAATAGAAGTTTACAATGAGTTTTTTTTTACGCTGCTTATTCATGCAACTTTTCATTCATGTTTTATGCAGATTCATTCATCATCTAAAGATCTAATGTTCCCTCTCAAGAATTTCATTAGTCTGGGATTTCAGCAGAAACCAGTGGAGAGCTTTAGTATCCTGTGATCTGTCTTCTTATGACATGGAGGGCTAAAAGCATGTAGCTTTACCTTCCAACGGAACACTACAACAGCTGGTTGAAAAGGTGATGAAACATGTTTGTTAAACTGATCTAAATCCTGTTTCTGAGGATGTTTAAACCTTAGCAAAAGGTGTTCCTGGTGAAGAAATATAAGCTAAGACAACTAAATGGGGTACTCCATTGATTTAGTATTGCACTTCCATTAAGTTGGGGGACTCAAGGACATAATTCAAATTAAAATTCAAGTGCTAGATGCTAGTATGAACAGGAATAGTTCTAAAAAGATAGGAAATGTTCTAAAATAGCTGGGTCCTATATTCCCAAAAATGCACTCAATTGCACATTTCATTACAGCTTGCCTGGTAAATGCTGACATATTTCAAACTCCACACCTTATGTTGACAAACTTCACATGTAAAATCAGATGGCTGTGCCTGTAAGTCTTACATATTACTATACGTTTTAAAATGTGAATCCAGATAAAATAAAATATTTTCTGGTTCAGGTAAAAATGATATTCATGATACATTCCCTTGTCAACAGTATTTTAAACTCATGAAACCAGCTCCACATGTCTAACTAGTGATGTAGTTAGACATGTGGAGCTGCTCTTTGACAAAAATGAACAAACTTCTGTAGTGTCCTTGTACATCAGCTAAGAGGTCATATTTTCCCTTGTCATCAATGCACTTAACAAAACAATGTACTGTAGCTGAGTGCTGGAGTGGGACTTCACAGTACAGTGCATACTGTATATGCAACTTTCATAGAGCCAACAAAATCCACATACAAAATGAAATGCCCATTGTTTCTAAAGGGGAAAGGCTTTGTGCTGCTGCTGGTGTGTTGACTGGAGCCAAATCTGCATGCATTAGGTCTTGCTGTTCCCAATCGATACTGGAGAAGCTTCAAAGAGGATGGCAAAGTGCCAGAGGGCTCGCAGAGAAGACGTGCTCAGCTAGAAAGCATCGTGGTCCGTGGATCCTGACTTGTATTATGCTGCATGCTTTACATTAGCCCCCTCACAGGAATCAAGCAAACACTTTTATCAACACCTCTACTCAAATCATGACAGTCCCAAAAGTACTTGTGTCCACACTGTGTGCATAAACCTTTCTATTAACAAAAGGGGTACTGCTATTTTCTGACTGAAGGTCGAATGACTAATAATAGCAGAAGTTGAAGGTGGACAGATACACTCGTTACACACCAGACTGGTCATTATTATCACAAATTACAATCATTTGGTGTTAAATATGAGGCATCTGGCCACTTTATTAGCTATAGCACTAACAGTTCCAGTAAGACAGCAAAGGCATAACTAATTTTTTTTTACAGTATTTCAGGAAGAAATATGCTCTGAATATTGGAACATCTCTTGTGAGGCCGAAAGAAATGATAACACTACAAAAAAGAGAAATATTGTTTTTATTAGGAAGATTATGCAAATAACAAACCCTAAAAAAATCATCTCTAAACTATACAAACCTATATTTACCTCAGACACTTCCTTTACACTTCCATCTACAAAATCAGAGAACAACCTCCCAACAACCAACCTCTCTCTCCCAGCTCTGACTTCTAGATAAAAATTTGTAGAAACATATTTTCCATGACTACTAACACCAACTTCCAACTTATACAGTATAAAATTCACAGATCTCACATCACTCAAAGCAAAATATTTAAAATGAGATTAGGGGACACAGATGCCTGCTTACAATGCACAATGGGACATATACAGTGGGTACGGAAAGTACTCAGACCCCCTTAAATTTTTCACTCTTTGTTATATTGCAGCCATATGCTAAAATCATTTAAGTTCATTTTTTTCCTCATTAATGTACACACAGCACCCCATATTCACAGAAAAACACAGCTTTATTAATAAAGATAAACTGAAATATCACATGGTCATAAGTATTCAGACCCTTTGCTCAGTATTTAGTAGAAGCATCCTTTTGAGCTAATACAGCCATGAGTTTTTTTGGGAATGATGCAACAAGTTTTTCACAGCTGCATTTGGGGATCCTCTGCCATTCCTCCTTGCAGATCCTCTCCAGTTCTGTCAGGTTGGATGGTAAACGTTGGTGGACAGCCATTTTCAGGTCTCTCCAGAGATGCTCAGTTGGGTTTAAGTCAGGGCTCTGGCTGGGCCATTCAAGAACAGTCACAGAGTTGTTGTGAAGCTACTCCTTCGTTGTTTTAGCTGTGTGCTTAGGGTCATTGTCTTGTTGGAAGGTGAACCTTCGGCCCAGTCTGAGGTCCTGAGCACTCTGGAGAAGGTTTTTGTCCAGGATATTCCTGTACTTGGCCGCATTCATCCTTCCCACGATTGCAACCAGTCGGCCCGTCCCTGCAGCTGAAAAACACCCCCATTGCATGATGTTACCACCACCATGCTTCACTTCATACAGTTGGGACTGTATTGGACAGGTGATGAGCAGTGCCTGGTTTTCTCCACACATACCGCTTAGAATTAAGGCCAAAAAGTTCTATCTTGGTCTCATCAGACCAGAGAATCTTATTTCTCACCATCTTGGAGTCCTTCAGGTGTTTTTTAGCAAACTCCATGCGGGCTTTCATGTGTCTTGCACTGAGGACAGGCTTCCGTCGGGACCCTCTGCCATAAAGCCCTGACTGGTGGAGGGCTGCAGTGATGGTTGACTTTCTACAACTTTCTCCCATCTCCCAACTGCATCTCTGGAGCTCAGCCACAGTCATCTTTGGGTTCTTCTGTACCGCTCTCACCAAGGCTCTTCTCCCCC